TCACCTCCCTAGCCCCTCACTTACCTTGCCTCTACCCCTAAACGTTACCTTGGCCCACACACCATTCACTATTAACAGCCTCACCGCCACACTCGCTTCTAAAGTACATCATCAGCATTTCCATCTATCCATCCTTCATCCAGTTCTATCTATCCATCTATCCCCTCTTGCCTCCTCTACAAAACGTCAGCTCCTCCACGCCGTGTGTGTTTACCCTCCACAGGTGCTCAGGAACTCGCGCTGAATTTAAATGCTCCCAATAGAATTTTTTAAGAGTTAATGTGAACTGTTCCCCTTGACTATACGCTTTGAACTCGCCTTTTCCATTTTCATCATTCTCAACTGAAGCACACACACACACTCACTAAATCCTCCCCTAGCCACACCCCTCCCTCCCTTAGCCACACCCTTTCTACACCTCTCCCTCCTTCAGCCACACCCCTTCTACACCTCTCCCTCCCTCCCTTAGCCACACCCTTTCTACACCTCTCCCTCCCTCCCTTAGCCACACCCCTTCTACACCTCTCCCTCCCTCCCTTAGCCACACCCTTTCTACACCTCTCTCCTCCCTACACCTTCCTCCCCTTAGCCACCTTTCTACACCTCTCCTTCCTCCCTTAGCCCACACCCTTTCCCTACACCTCCCCCCTCCTTAACCACCCCTTCACCTCCTCCTTAGCCACACCCTTTCTACACCTCTCCTCCCTCCCAGCCACCCCTTCTACCCTCTCCTCCCTCCCAGCCACCTTCTACACCTCTCCCTCCCTCCTTAGCCACACCTGTTCTCCTGCCCCCTCCCAGCCACACCTCTTCACCCTCTCTTAACATCCTTTCCTCCCTCTCTTAACCACATTCCTTTCTCCCTTAACCATACCCTTCTCCCTTCATAGCTCTTTCTCTCTCCTTCCACCCCTCCCTCCTCCTACACCCCTCCCTTAACACATCCCTTTCTCTCTACCTTAACCACATCCCTTTCTCCCTCCATAACCACATCCTTTCTCCTCCCTTAACCACATCCCTTTTCTCCCTCATAACACCCCTTTTCCCTCCCTTAACCACACCCCTTTCTCCCCTCTTTTTAACCACACCCTCCCCTTAACCACACCCTCCTCCCTTGCCCTCACCCCTCCACTCCTTAACCCTCACCCCTCCCTCCCTTAACCCTCCCACCCCTCCCTCCCTTAACCCTCACCCCTCCCCTCCCTTAACCCCTCACCCTCCCTCCCTCCCTTAACCCTCCCACCTCCCTCCACCCCTCCCTCCCTCCCTCCCTCCCTCCCTCACCCACACCCCTTCCAACGTTCTCTTCCCCTCCACTTAATCCTTCCCTCTTTCCCTTTTTACTTGTTTCTCCTCTTCCCCCTTATACTTCCGTTTCCTCTATTTCCCCCCTTTCCTCTCCTTCCCGTCTTATACTTCCCCCTTTCTCTCCCCTCCTTATACCCCTCTTTCACCCTTGTCTAATTCTTCTCTGTCCCTTCTACTTGGTCTCACTTTCCCCCCATCCACAGTAACTTCCTATCTTCTGTTTTCCCTCGCATTATTCCTCTCCCTCCTCTTTTCCTTCTCATCTGTTTCCTATAAGCCCCTTGTACTCGCACTTCCCCCTTTCCCTTTTCTTCTCTTACCCTCCTGCACCCCCATCTTCTTGGTCTCCCTCTTCGCTTTGTTCCACCTTTCCCCTCCCTTTTGTATCTTCCTGCTTCCCCCTCGCCTCTTTTTGTCGCCCACCTTGTCCAGTGCCCCCCTGTTGTGGTTTAAAGTAGGAGAGGCAGAGATATATTGGCATTCTCTGGTTATTGTCGTCCGGCAGAATGGCTTGCGTTGGGTCGAGGTCTTGTGGTCAATACCTGGTGCACCCTCTTATTACTTCCCACTTTGTCATCTCTTCCATTCCTCCTACTCGCCCCCTCCCCCATTCCTCCTCCTCCACCTTCTGCTTCTTCGTACCGGCAGGGAATCTTTGCTCCGTATCACGGTTTGGTCACACTAGGGGTCATAACCTGGCTTGGTAAACTGTTCTTACCTTCATTGTTCGCGGTAGTTGCCTCGGTGTCTCCTCACCCTCATTGTCCTTGATGGTCTCTTTGGTCTCCGTCTTGGTTTGCTGCTGGTGGTGCTGGACACGCACGCCCCTACCAGAGTCAACACCCTCTGTGAGCACCGTGCACGTCGGGCTTCACGCTAGGTGCACCTACAACCCCCGAGAGAGTTCCACCGAGCACCTTAAGAGAGAGTGCATGTCTTTCAAAATCCGCCGTCTTGGCTTTTGTGTATATATACAGAATGCATCCCAGATCATCTCTGCACAGTCTTCCCATGGTTTCACATTTTACGATGAACTGATCCAAGATACTTGGCCCTGTGACGGACGGTCGCAACACAGCGTCATGGGGGATAGACTCGGTATATGAGACTGATCCTATAGGAGTATATTAACAGGTTGGGCTGCACGTGGGCCACCCATCATACATGGTGACCATATTCGAGTCTCGCCTCGCAGTGTGCACCTCACCATTACCTTCAAGTTTAGTACATGTGGTTTTATTTCTGACAAACCATCTGCCGTATCATAACATACCTGAATTAATAACCAAGTTTAAGTGAAAATAATAGTTGAAATTTTATCTTGGCAAAGGTGAGGACATGTGATTGCAATAATTACTAGTCAATATAGTGTATGCGAGTACCTGAGGGTAGGTGATAAGAAGGTTGTATTGGAGGTGGGAGACTGGAAGACTACACGAATAGCGGGTTACCAGCCTCCGGAGACGGTGTGTTGGGTATAATTATTGGAACGGAGATTGTCTCGGTAATGGCCAAGTCAGCCTGGACACATTATTGTTGTGTGTTGACGAGGCTGTGGACGGTAGTGACAGATACCGACCCTTATTATTGTCTCGATGGCCCCTTTACCCACACCCTTACCTTTCGGAGTAACCAGATGGGTGCCTTCAGGCTTCTACACACCAGTGTTTTCTTAGTGTTGAGAACCCAGATCGTACAACGCATCATTGAAAATAAAGTTTCACTTGACTATTGAGGTGACTAGCAGTTCTCACCCCCCACAGCCTTCCTGGAGAACATGAAAGGTACGTTATGACCCACCACCCAGGCTGCTGCATCGTCACATCCATCAGTAATATATCACATGATAATAGAGAATGTGTGGGTTATACTTACATAAACGAGGCAGTCGGTATAGCTCTCGGTCTTCTGCTTTTCCCTCTAACCCCAGCCAGTGTCAGAGATACGACAGTGTGTTAGTCGTGTGTTAAAAAACAAAAAATCTGGATAATGCTTGAAAGTGTTCAGGTTATTATATTTGAGCAACAAACGATCGTTGACGAATAGAATATTCTGCGATAATCTGGCGACGCGAAGGACAAAAGTCGTGTTCTCCACTGTGTTGGTCCAAAGGTTGTCTGTAGTAGGTGAGATCGAGTGTTTGACATTCATTTGCAACATCAAATATTATAGAAATAAAATCCAGAATGTAGTAGGTCGTTAATTACCCACTCTGGTACCGGTGCGCACTTTACTTTATATGTATTCACATATATCGAGTCTGAATTTGAGGGGACGAGACAATTACTGCCAGATTGAAATTGAAGTTTTAAGTGGCACATAGGGAGCCCTTCAACTTGTGTGCCGAGGAGAAGAGAGGCTCATCCCAATGCTGCCACTATCTCACCTCCACCTTCCACCATCCCTACTCCTTTATCTTCCTCCTTCCCTTCTCCTATCCTACATCCCTCTGCTACCTCTTCCTCCTGACCCCACGCATCCCCCTCCTGCTCTTTGTTATCCGATATTGAGCCTCAGTCACCTTTGTCAGCTGGCTCAGTGCATCCACACCTTTGTTACCTGATACTGCTGAGCTGCAGCCTTTTATTGCTGCCTTGTTCTCACCTACCTTAACTTCCCATGAAGCGATCCTGTTCGTGTCACACAGTTGGGTACGGTGACACAGGCACGGCTGGCACTATCAGTGGCTTGGTTACTGTTGACAGTGTTACCGGCATGCCAAGATGTGGTGGACTGACATTGATTAGTCTTCTGGATGATTGGCATAGCCTGTGACACTAAGAGGGGCGAACAAGATGGAGGGCATGGGAAGAAACAAGTGGGTGGGTGGGGAGGGAGCGAGCATACATAAGCATTGACATGGATACTAGCTAAGAGGGGGGGGGGAGGATATGCCTGAACGGTGACAAGGAGTGTAGGCAAAGGAACTGGTTTGGATGGTGACACAGGAACAGGAATTAACGTGGATGGGTGGCGGGATGGATTTTATTACTGGCACGGGTGGTGGCGAGCAGTGACACTGGCGGTGAAGGAAGCATAGACGATGGCACAAAGTAAGAGAGTAATGGAAATAGGGGTGTGTCGGGACAGTGACAGGATGAACTAATAAGTGTGAAGCTCGGGGGCTTGGACAGGTTAGAGGTGAGCGCACCTAACAGGAGGGTGTGTGGTGTGGTGCTGCCTCACGCCCCTCTGGGACCCTCACACCTCCGCCACTCACTGAACTTAATAACTTTCATTTGGAGTGTTTGGGTGTCTCATACAGTATTTTGGTCATTTTTAAATCTAGAATTAACCCGGAGACCATCCCGCCTGCTGCTCCTGCACTCGGCTAGACAAATAATAATTGGACTAAATTTAATGTTAGTTAACTTGTGACAGCTGACGCACACACGAGTTTAAACACAGGTAATAGCTTCATTAATATTTTTAATTTCATCAATTGTTCCTGGGTCTTTGTTTCGTGGGTCACTTTGAGGGACCTTTTTTACCCTGGCCTCTCTCTGTATTGTTCTCGACTTCTCAGTATTCCAAATAGGTAAACAAGTTTGCACTAAATTGTACGTGTCAATTAGTATTGTGAAGATGTAAGATCCCTGTCATAACCATGCTAATATATATTTCCAATGTTAATTACATTATCTTACACTGTTAATAACTAGTACTAACAACACAATTTTTCCCACTTCCAGCGTGGCTCCGATGAGCTGCTGTCGCAGACCGGAGCGGTGAGCAATGGGTCGGTCATGAGCCCAGCTCCCAACCACGCCGATAATAACAATGACGCCAAAAAGGTGAGTTTGTAGCTGTTACTCGTCATTGTGTTGTGCTCCTGTTGAAGTCTAAAGGTTCCGACGATGATTATTTATCCTAACTCTTGTTGGTTACATTCTTATACAGGGTGTATTCATGTTATTCATCATACGAACCTTTGTGAACCAAACCACTAGTTTCCATCTGGGTTGGATAACTGACATCATTAAGTACTGTAGGTTACACGAGGATTTTTTTATGGAAGGTTTGCCCTGCCATGTAAGAGTACCTCTGAAGGTCTAGCAGCGAGAGTCATGGCAGCATTATAGGTCCTTAACTGAAGGGTCAGTTTAGGAGTGAAGAGTCAACTTCACATTTGGGGAATTTAAACATTTGCTCCTCAGTTGGATTGTGTGCCTTGGACATGTCACATGCAGGAGCGAAGTCGTAGGCATGGCAGACGATGCAGGTTAGTGAAGGATTAATCACTGACCCAGAGCCAGATTGTTCAGCGACTACTCACAAAGCTCACTCATGGTGTATTACTAGAGGTAAACACGACTTAACCCGGTAGGATGTAAAAAATACTAAGTGATCTTTTGGTGTAAATTATGATTCTCGTTGTCCGTCGTGAGGAGTGATGGCTGAGTGTAGTACAGGAGTGTGTGACGCGTCCCACCTGTGGGAGGGGTATTAACGTAGACCTTATAAGTAAGTAATGTACACATGAATCCAGAGGAATAATTTGTGGCGCACTCGGATAAGGATATTGTAAAGAATATCATTCCATGTATGTTACCCGTAAGCGGTCGTCATGAAGGAATAAGTTAATTGTGGTATGTGAGAAAAATATTTAGCCTCCGTAGGAGTACCTCCGTTATTAGCAAGAAAACGTTGGTTGCTGTCATATATTGATTGTGTTGAAAAGACGCCCCCGACAAAATAATATTCAACGGAAATAAGGTGCAGTGATATTGTGTGAGTGGAGAGGACGCCAGCAGTTGTTCGTAGGATTAAGAAGAGAGCGTATTAGTCAGGCCGTGACAGTATCCCACACTAAACTGGGGAGAAAGAGTCTCTCTCTCTCTCTCTCTCTCTCTCTCTCTCTCTCTCTCTCTCTCTCTCTCTCTCTCTCTCTCTCTCTCTCTCTCTCTCTCTCTCTCTCTCTCTCTCTCTCTCTCTCTCTCTCTCTCTCTCTCTCTCTCTCTCTCTCTCTCTCTCTCTCTCTCTCTCTCTCTCTCTCTCTCTCTCTCTCTCTCTCTCTCTCTCTCTCTCTCTCTCTCTCTCTCTCTCTCTCTCTCTCTCTCTCTCTCTCTCTCTCTCTCTCTCTCTCTCTCTCTCTCTCTCTCTCTCTCTCTCTCTCTCTCTCTCAAACTGAAAATTTTTTGTTTGATGGTATGTATGTCACGAGACAACGTATCTCTATAAAGTTAGCAAACATTATTATTTGTCATTTGAGCTGGTTATACTACACAAGAGGGTGGGGTTGGTACTACTAGTGTACACACTAGTAGTACTACTAGTGTACACACTAGCTAGCCGACCTACAGTGGTGAACGGGGAGGAAATAGGAATGGTGCCCGGGTAGCTGGTGTGAGAGGCAGATGATGAAAGGGGGGAGAAGAGACGGCTGGGTGTTGGGCCAGACTTTATCGTGGCGGGCGGACCCTTCCTTTGACAATCTCGCCAGACCCCCGTGCATGACGCCACTCCTGACGCCCTCCCCGCCTAATGTACAGTATGTCCTCCCTACCGTCACAACAACTCATCTTCTTAATGTGGCGTGCTTAGGATGTTTTTTTTTTACTCTACCAGTTTTAACACCACCTGGGTTTTCCCTCCCCCATCTCCTCTCTACTTTGTCGCTCTCCCAATCACCCTCAGCAAACATGGCTGTCTTCCACCTTTTCCACTCAGTCTGACAACAACGATTGCCAAACCTGTAGTATGATTCACCAGACGTCTTTGAAGGGTTAGGGAGGTGGTTAATATTGGACATGTTTTGTGTGTGTGACGTATAGACCCCCGGTGGCGTCATTTCCGGTATTGGTGGTAGCAGCCAGTGCCCGGCCACCACTCCCATATTGATGTGGGCATAGTGTTACACAGCTGTCATGTCAGCCTCACGCTTCGTGTTATCAACACCAGCTGCACTCCGGCGTCACCCTCCTCCCACCACCCGCCCCTTCAACCAGTTTCCATTGTGCAAATCTGAGGGGAAAAGTGAATAATTGATTGGAGATAGAGAGAGCGGTTAACTGATTTTCTCTGTGGGTGTGTCTGCAGTACGTTTGACTGAACACTGGGTTTACTACTCCCACTGTGTGTGTGTGTGTGTACACATAAGACAATTCCAGACAGGAACAAAGGTGTCGGCAGCTTCCATTACTGAACTTAAATAAGCAGACGACCTCACCCTTGTCGCTCACACTGATCGCGACCTGCAGGAGATCCTGAACACTTACGCAGATGCGTATGCACACTTCGGCCTTGAGGTGAATGTACGTAAAACTCTGATTCTCAATCAGCCTGACCCTGGTTCAGCCACACCTCCACCATCCATCCAGCTTATCGGTAATACCCTCTTTAATATTACCACCACAGACTTCGATGAAGAGATTCAACATCGGATCAGATGTGCATCTCAAGCCATTGGGATACTCTGTACCCGTGTCTTCAGCTGTAGGGCGCTGCAATTAACTACAAAGTTGCACGTACGGGTATATCGAGCAGTGGTCCTCCCAACCCTGCTATATGCAGCGAGACATGGGTCACATACAGGAGGCACCTCAAGGCACTTGAAAACTTCAACGTAGTCTACATTCCATCCTCCGAGTTCGCTGGGAATACAAGAGAACAAATGGAGGAGCATCGCGGCTACCATTATCAATGAACAGCTATGTTGAACTGGCTATTTTACCAACATGGACGACAGTACACTATACTGCCAAAGCAGCTACTTTACAGTCACCTAATGAATATCAAACGTAACGCTGGCGGGAAACTGAAAAGGTATACTGTAAGGATAGTCTTAGGACAAACCTGAAAAAGTGCCAAATCAACCCCTTCACCTGGGAGACGATTACTCCACACCATCACGCTTGGAGGAGCACTACACTAGGTGCCAATACTTTCGAGTTAGCCCGACCGCATACCGAGGCAGACAAGCGCCAACGCCGGAAAGACGCTGTGCCGCCCCTCCCGCACTAGATGTAGCCCTCCACACATGCAACATTGGTGGACTATCCTGCCGGTTTCTATCGGCCTCTCTAGTCACATCAGAGCTCACCAACGAAAGTGAAATCCTTAAGAACTCCTATCATTGTATCATAGCTGGATGATCGTCATAGTCGATTCCGAGTGACAGCAAAGTATTAGTGCTGCACACAGCAGCGTTGGAAATATATTTAGGATGATTTTTGTGCTAGCTCAATGTAGTCTCCCTGTCTGTAAGCTCCATACAAGCTTTTGGTTGGCTGGATTCGATTGCCACAGAACTGATACGTTTACCACTTTACCCGAAGTTTGTCGGCGGTGCGTAGCTTTAATTAGCAATGTGCTTGTACTGCATTAAGTGTTAGTATAGTTGTGTAGTGTTGAGCACACGGGTGTGGCCACCTTGGGTGGTTCAATCATCTTGGGAAATGAATTAATTGTTTACGTGTCGCCTGATGATGAATGTCACTGATAAAGGTAACCTGACTAGGCTTATTCATTTCAACTACGGCTGTTTGCAGGTGTTTACTGACAATAGGGTAGGTCCTTTACCTCAAAGTTTTGTCCTCTCTCTTTTTATCCTGCAGTAAAAGTGTGTGAGAGCGCACGTGCCTTGGTACTACCATCTTTTACTACATGATTTAGTTCACTTTTGGATCGCTAGCCTGTATTCAGAGGAACTTTAATGAGAACCTTGAATATTCTAGTACTTTTAATTGGTGTAATTCACTTTACACCCTAAATCAATTGCGTTTTATGGAGACCATAAGCCCTTTTAGTCTTGCACTGCACCTTCCCCCCTTCACCCTCTCGTCTCGTCAAAGGTGAGAGGCCTGGTGTCACTCACTGAACAAGTAGCATCGCCGAGTCTTGGCATAGATTAATTTTGTCGAATTAGAGTTTAAGTGGTGGTTAGGTGGAAGATGGAGTAGACGGCGGGAGGTGTGAAGATTAAATGAGGTTACGACAACACTTGGGCCCTGGTGGTGTGCCTAGGTGATTGACGCCCGTGTTAAACTAGCAGTGCTTGATGGCAACCCAGCCTCTTCCTTGATTTCTCCCTCCCACCCAGACCGCACCCGCCAGCCTTGCACCCCATCAGCCTCCCCCCACCAACCCACCCACCCACCACGTCTCACCTGCACCGCCACCACTACTCATTGCTTTTCCATCCACTTGTTCGTCTACCCCGAATCTGCCACTCCTCCAAATACTTCACCACTTGAACACCGTTTATCTTCTCTCCGCCACCACACAACATACCTTCCTTCATTACAGCACCTGACCCCAAAGGGTGCCTGTGGGAGGTCCATCATCTAAGGGATGTTAAATGAGTTAGTGTATCCTTTATGAATATTCTCCGAGGTATGAGGTGACTCACGACAGAGTATGCTCATGACACAAGTCTTAAACACGATATGTTTTCATTCATGACTGTAGTGAGTATTGTGTATATTGTGCGATCAGACATGCAGAGCAAATGTTATCGATTCTTTACGGAAAAGATATGTCAGAAGCAGCAAGGGATGGGGGTATTTAAGACATTTATATTATGACTGAAACAATATACCTGAGGTGGTAATGCGTTACAACCTGCCGTGGAAACTGTCTGGTTGATTGTAAGTATACGATTGTTGAGGGATCAACACCCAGCCACAGTATGTATGTTAAACCATTTGTAAAGAATTTGGCATTGTCGGTGTGTTATTAGCTCAAGTTAACTAGAGCCCCAGCGTTTGAGATAAAAACAAATATATAACCGGAAATTCCCTCTTGTGGCAGTACGTCAGGATATGGAGACACTCATCCCTTTGCTTCTCTTGCGCCTTTCATTAAAAGTTTCACTCTTACCCTTATATTATTGGTTAAGGCATCTTGACATAAGTTTCTTTCCTGTTGTGTATGGGGACGTGAGGTGTCCTACATAGAGTTGCCTTGTGTTGGCATATGGAGCCACCGTCGTTCTGGGAACAACCACCTGACTCAATTTTACGCGCGCGCCCATATCACCGCTCCTTCAGTAGTTACTGCCTCTTAACACTCCCGCGCGTCAGTATCGTTTTTGTACTACACGTCTACTATATTGAAGTTGCTTTCGCAGCCATCCAGTTGTGCGCGAAGGTACCCTGTCCTTGTGCGGTCTCTTCCACGCCACTTACCAGTCTCGGGTGAGGAAACGCTCCAGCACAGTGTCTTGTCCGGAGAAAAATGCTGGTAGACTAATAATTTATAGGTCTTCCATCCTCCAATATTGGATGTCCTCCACTGGTGGGATGTGTGGGACCCAGGTGGATTCAAGTCCGCCTCGGCTGCTTACGCTGGGCTAAGTTGGTTTTATATCACGCTGGGAAGTGTAGTGCCATTTAGCTTTGTCGTAAACAGTTATGTTGTGGCATGGTAGATATTTCATATAATATGGTATTGGCTTGGGGTAGTGTTGAACTTGTGGATCAAAGAAGTAAACGTGACTTTGATGAGGTGTTTGTGTGAAGTGGTGAGTAGATGGTGGGAGGAGGCCGTGGGTGTTGATGTTATCGTATTAGGGGAAGGGGGTGGCGGGACGCGAAGACAATGACAGAGTAAAGAGGCCCTGTTGCCTCGTTAAGGACGGGAGGGAAGGGTGGGGACCTCCAGCCCATGACCGGCTGATGAAGTACCGGCCAGGCGTAGCCCTACACCCGCAACTCATCCTTTTTAACATCGCCCATATTACCAACATTTGTGAAGTACCCACCAGATATGATGGTTTGTTAACCTATGTTCTGTTGATGGTCGAGAGGACAACTATTTGGCCGAGTTGGTGGTGATGCAATAGGAGCCGACGTAAAGCAGGCAACAGAGCAAGCAGGGGAAGCGCTCGTCATTTCCATGGTGCTGTAGTTACGAGGCTCCGGAGCCTGCAGGTCTCGAGCTCTGGCCAGTGAGCATAACTAATGAGGTGTCGCTCCCTCGTCTCCTGGGAAACCTGTTAGAAACCACCACCACCATGTTCAGCCCTCACGTTTAAGTTTTTTCCCTCCAGTATAGGCCATCTTGTTAGCACTTAGACTGCTGATGACATCGTAACACGGTTGCATGGTCTTAAAGGTCTTAACATCTTAGCAGTTGACTGCACACAGGCTTTTCTCACAATGACCTGAGGGATTCTTAGAAAGTTTAATGTCTTTTTTGTGTGTGCGCGTGTGTGATTTCCTCAAACGGCTGCTGCCCGGAGATAAGAGTTCACTTATAAAGTATCCATGCAGAGTGACTTGATGGGGGAACGATCATTGGTGTTGGTTGAGGGAAAGCTACCGGTGATGGTGTCGCTGCATCTTTGAATCTCGTCAAACATGGCCCAGGCTAGGACGTGAGATGGCCCGAGCCTCCCAGCTCTCCTGCTTAAAGCGCGAGGTTCCACAGCTTGCAAGGAGACGGTAAAGGTAATTGTGATTTAGGTTTGATTGATCCTGTATTAATACCACTAAGCTTGTCCTGTTTATTCCGAAATAACCTCTCAATGTCTTAGTACCATTGTTTTAAACATTTATCAATCAATAGAAACGTATCCAATTATTTTCCGATGTTTACTGACCACGAAAGTTTTAATTTTAAACAAACTTTCATTTATCCGGCGATTAACTCTGCTCACTGGGAGCTTTTAGAGTTTTTCTTGTATTTTTATGTAGTTTAAGTTGAAATGCTACCGGTAGAAGCTTTACGGTGTTGGAGCTTACAGGCGAGGCGCTGATTTCCGTCTCTTTGGCACTAAAGTAACCTGCAGTGTGTGAAATCTATTGTCATACAAACAAGGGACCCAGGCGCTCGGGGACCTGCTGTTTAACTTCCAGGACAACCCAGCACCCTATCACTCGTGGTCCGAGTGGTGGCGGGGTTTATGGAAGTCCTAGGCTGGTGAAGACACCTCTCTGGACCAGTGCTTCAGTTGCTAGAGGCTTTTACAGTACACTTGTAATTGTCCTATTATTTAAAAACGTTATGAATTTATTAAGTTCAGTGAGGAGAATAAGTTGATTGGTTAGTAGTTTTTACCCTATTTCATTTTATTTCGGTGCCAGGGTCTGGTTGTTGGATGTTCATTATTGGATTTAATCGTTGAACCAAACAGTGCCAGAAAGCTGTTGTTAGTTAATAATATTGAAGTTTCCCCAGAAGATGAGTGACGCAGTAGGAACCCATCTCCTCGTTTGACAGCGTGTACCATTGGCGGCCCAATTTATTCATGATGATACACTTAATTTTGAGCTTCGCTGGCTCTTCATATTGATAATAATCTAATGTTTGTGTTTCATTTCTTATCACTGCATCTGGTTCACGTACTGTATGTATCCCCCCTCCCCCCCCCCTTTTTTACCTTGTCATTTAACTTTTTTTTTACAGCCAAAGTGGACGAATTTTTTTCTCCAGTTGATTTTATTTTTATTCATAATTATAAGATTACTTGTTAGCACTTTTAACTTAATGTGTCATGTACTCTGTGAAGTGACAGATCGTTTTAAATGACGGGTAAAGCTAATGTTGTAAATTTGTGTTTTGTTCTTTCAGGTTAAATTGGACACTAAGAACCCCGGGGCACCGTCCCGCGTGATACACATCCGCAATATCCCCAATGAGGTGACCGAGGCTGAGATCGTCCACTTGGGTATTCCTTTCGGCAAGGTCACCAATGTCCTCGTCCTGAAGGGCAAGAACCAGGTACGTTGTGCTCTCTCTCTCTCTCTCTCTCTCTCTCTCTCTCTCTCTCTCTCTCTCTCTCTCTCTCGTACTGAGTAATACTATACACTGTTAAGGATATTGGGCAGTACAGTACAACTCGTAGTGAAACTACTTCCTAAAGCATTTGTGTGTGTCGGGTACTTTTGCCATGGTGTAATGGCCAGATAACTTTCTTAGGCCGAAATTGACAGTGAAATAGATATTTATTAAAAAAAAGTCTAAGTTTGTGAGATACAAACGGGGGGAGGGGTAATGAGTGAGAGGTGGAACTAGCGTGGAGGTATGGCTGAATCCATTTGACGCACTCGTGAATCCTTCCTTCCTTACTCTCAGTGGGAGAGACAGACCTCGGTGTGTTACACAAAGGATAAGTATTGAGATCACTATGTGTAGCCCAAGACGAAAATGTGTTCAGATTCTCTCCGTCATATTAAATGCGCGCGTGTAATCACTGGGTACACTAACTTATGAAAGAAGTAGTGGGATGACGAGGTTGGCGGTGCGTATTTTGGGTTTTGTTAAAGTTATCCATCCCTCCATGTATTATCTTGTTATCCCGTTTGCCCCCGAGGAAGAAAGTTTCCTTAATACAAGTTTTGGGGAAAATATACATTATACAAGTTTGGGGGGGGGGACTTCCCGGGGGATTATTGTGTGGATGGGAGATTACAAGAGCTGGGGACCATGGCTTGCGTACCGTCGTAGTTGGGGGGGGGGTGTTGTTTTGCCATAGAGGAAGTTATATTGATGTGGTTTGATTTCCCGGCGTAAAGGAGAAGAATCTGGCGTGTGGTGGTTGTGTACACACACAGGCTAGTCCAACCAGTGTTGCCAACGTATGACTTTTTTTTTATTACTCCCTGACGGGCTGCCACCACATGACCACTGATAATATTGCACGTTAAATATTCCTTCGGCAGTGTCTGTTAGCTATGGGAATATTCGAACCAGTGATTTGTTACGAGATAGTAATCGTCAATCAGCCAACGGATTGGTATGTATCGGGTTAACTTCCCCTGGTGGCAGATATTTTGCAAGATTATTTGTCGTGTATAGTGTGGGCGCGTTACAGCATTACTGTAACTACCTTGTAGCGGTTGAGTGCGCGTATTTTAGGGGCGCAGTTGACAACGTCGGTGATGGTGGCTATGTTTGTAAACGTGGTGACACTCGTCGGGAATCTCAGCTATGCATGACTTAGCGTCGTTGGCCTTGACAGTGAGGTGGTAAGTTCGTGACCAGTGGTGAAGCATATTAAGACTGCGTGCCAGCTACCACCGCCAGCGACAGGTGGTAACGAGGTTTCACTGCTTCACTTCTCTCATCCTACCTACTGTCTCCCAGCTATGCGCCTCTCTCTCCTCTATTTTAATTCTATCTTTTTCTCTCTTCTTATTTTATATTATTTTTCTCGTGTGTGTTGCTACCCTTCATTACACCTAGGTATCTGTATTTCCACAAAGTGAGGAGGACACACGGATCATTGACAACCTCGTGTTGATGAAATGCAAGTCGCCTCATTTTTTCACCTTCACCTTTGATGAAGGTTTTTGTTTCTCTCACCCACTACCCCCATAACACCTCGCCCCTCCTTATATTGATCACCACGAGTGCATTTTAGGTATTTGTGCTTCAATGTGGTAGTGAAGTGTTTGTTATCTTGCTAAATGTTAGCTCTTGCAGATTGTAGTTCACAGGAGTCCTGAATGTTTATAAAATGGGTGCATAAAATATTAGTTATGCATTGTGGATCGATAGTCATGTTGATTGATTTCCCTCTTAATTTTATTATTTTTCCAGTTTAAATCTAGCATGTTCTTGGTGTGTCAACAACATTTTCTCAAGTCTTAAAGAATACATTTTCGTGAAATGTTAAATATATATATATATATATATATATATATATATATATATATATATATATATATATATATATATATATATATATATATATATATATATATATATATATATATATATATATATGTAGAATTAAGAAAAAATATTAAATAAATAATTACTTTCTTTTATAACTTTAGTGGAGTGTTTAAGTGAGCCTCTGGGGCCGAGCTACTAGGGAGGAATTGGGAGAGGGCAGAGGACAGACTGCCACCAATAGTGATGAACATGCATCTCCCATGATGACAAAGGCAACTTGGAGCCTAGTTGGTATGTGGGTAGTGCGAGGAGGTCTACTGGGACACGTGGCGTGTTTATGTAATGTTAGAATTGGTACGCAATAAAAAAAAGGGTTCTTATCGTATGAGGGACATTGCAGCTAAAGGCTTTATTTCACTCCATGAACCACAATGATGACATAACACTGTCTTCACTAAACCTACTCACACTGGGAAAATTTCTTCTCGTGATACTCATACAAATGCCATAAATCATAAGTCATGCATTACCTAATGTGGTTTAGTGTTAAGATATAATGGTAATGTTATCTTTGTAGGGGGAGAATCTGAACTCTTTAAGCGGTTGCTAATTATTCAGACTACAGTGAGGGATTTAGGCTTGCAACCTTAGTGATTAGTTACCAGGGAAAATAGCCTGGTAGAGAACCAGCCTGAGATGACCTTAGCCTACATTTGATTCCAACTAACTTCAAGGACCATCTTATGAGTAATGGTTCCCCTGGTGGAATTATTGTAGCCAGTGCCAACAAACTGCATAATTGTGGGATGACAATAATCACTAATTTTCATTTGTTTACTTTTTGTTACAGGCGTTCTTAGAAATGTCCGACGAAGTGTGCGCCACCACAATGGTCAACTACTTCACTAACTGTACCGCCCAGCTGCGTGGCCGTGCCGTCTACGTCCAGTTCTCTAACCATAAAGAGCTCAAGACTGACCAGACCCACTCCAACGCGGTGAGTCCTGACGCACAGCTCACCCCTTCACCCAGTCTCTTGCTGGGTGGAGGGTCATGGTATCTGGTAGTGTTCGGCTTTGCATTTAAGAAACCTTAACCAAATCTCATATGGGCATTAAATTTACGTCTATCCTTAGTGTTTCGGTTTTAATTCCTGTTCTTACAAGCCCTTTCACACCATGACACAGGATGACCAGAGTCAAGACTGATACAATCATTTCTCCGATATTTGCTGTCATTGCATCTTCTTATCTGCCATACTAGATGGTTTACTGTGGTGACCCCCATTACACAACATTTTTATTCCGTAACTAGTTTTCAGATGAAGGAAACTGACATAAAAATAGATGCTGGTAACAAAATGAGCATTACATTTTTCAGTCTCTAGAGCAAATTTTCAATAAAAGGAATATAATTTAACAACCTTGAAAGCTAATGTTTATGAGCAACCTAAAGAGAAGCAATTCTTTATTGTTTGGCAAGTAATGACCACACTAGTTGTTGTCAGGGTGAGTGAGAGTCAGCAACGAGTCAGATTCCCACCATTTCACTAGTTAATTCCATTTTAATTAGTCCACCTGTGTGTTAGCTAACTAGATTTACCATTACTGTATAAGTGAAAGGTCCCCGTGCCTGCCGTTGAAACTGGAAATATATATATATTTTTTATGATATGTGCATTTACTGCATCATTAAAGACCTTTGACTCAAAGCTTAGTTTTTAGTGTAGTATTAATTTATACAAATGAATCAATATTTAAAATAGAACCAGGTGGGTTTAGAGCTGGTACAGTACTAGGCTTGTCTTGTTTGTAAGCATAATTTGGGTCAGTGGAACTATCAGATGTAATCACATTTTACTTATCATTTATCTCGCATTTACTTTTTTTATGATTTCTGGTGTCAAATATTGGAAGTTTGAGTGTGTACATCCTTATTTTGTTTTCCATTGTGAACACTTGTAAAAAGTTTTCAAGATTTCTAAATACTGTATCTTTCAGTAACTCTATGCCTGACACATGCCAGACATAGGCAAAAGAGTGAGTTGCAATCTCTGGCGTCAAACAGTGAAAGTATTTATGTTTATTTTTCAGCAGAATCCTAGTGCACAGGCGGCGCTGCAGGCAGCCCAGGCCCTGGTGAATCAGACGGATACTCAGGGCGGCCCCAACACTGTTCTGCGCGTCATCGTCGAGCACATGATCTACCCAGTCACCCTTGATGTTCTCTACCAGGTAAGTCATGTCATCACTCTAGTTTAATACCTGTACTGTACTTTCATTAATTGTTGTTGTGCCATCTCTGGAGAGGTAGGATTAGACGACTTCATTATTCTGTAATTAGTCAGGTTGAAGTATGGTTTAGTAATTGATTGGTGTGGATTGGGGCGTACATGTAGTTAGGTAAGACTTATGTAGTATGAGAAAGGAAATCATTATTTATGTGTTCATCTGGTAACAAGTGTTGTAATGTCACAAAATGTATGAAATTGTATGCTGTGTCTTAAAATGGCATAGAATGAGACAGGAGTTACAATCAGTAGTGCATATTGTTAAAAACAATGTGAGTACCTGTACAGTGCCAGTATTGTCTTCTGTTTTGAATAGTGTAGTCTATCTCAAACCACCTGGTAGGTAGGTGGGTGATAACCTTGGTGCTCACAAATGAGCTAGTTCGGGGGTGTGATAGTAACACCAAGATGAGGCAGTATATTCGAATGTCATTCAGTACATATTTTGACCTTCCAGGTAGGTATTTGCAATTTGCATTTGATGAGCAATCATTGAAGATTCCATCCTTATGTCGAGAGTTGGCTACTACGACCCACCACTATAAGCACGTTCACCAGTCCTCCCAGATACTATCTGTCTCGGGATCGGGCTTTCAGTTTCCTTCATCCCCTCAACTTAATGAAGATTATGGTAATTGGGAAATATTATGCACTCTTTGGAGATACTGTCCAGTATTGTAAAGGGTTGTGGCAGAACTGAACAACTTTGGTAACCTAACATATAGGCTCTTACTGTGGGCTAATTAAAGAAGAAATGGCTGAGCTATGCTACTATGGTCATGTAGGTAAAAGTTTGGTGTGTGAACCTATTAACTTTGGAAACTCTAGTAATTTATAACCTGTTTTAAGTTAAGTAGGAAAAATGCTGCTATTCTAGAAAGGCATTTTATGAAATGTTGAGCAGGTGATACTATTAAAAACTTTGGTTTTCTTTCTAAGGAGATTTAGTCGTTGGTCTTGTTCCAGTGGACTAACCGTAACTCGGTAGGGGGTGCGTGATATCTTCGCATGAGTGGCGAGTTGCCTCATGAGCCAGTACCGTATTTGTTAAATTCTCTAACAACCACTCCTACTGTATGAGATAACACCCAACATCTTCAGATAAAACAGTAACTAGAAATATATTTGGAAAAAATTAGATAACTATCCTGAGAATCTATTACTCAGGAAGCAATATAAAGTGTAGCCTCTACACTGCTGCTGCTCCTCAAAAACTTGTGTGGTAATTATTGAAGTTTAAGACATTATTCTTAATATTAATATACCGGTACCTACTCAGTGAGGTTTTACATACTGTGTTGGGAGGGATTATAATGATGAAACTTCCCCCGATAGTGGAAAGTATAGTAGTTACTAGTACAGTAATTGTGTTTGGCTGCAATAATTGATATAACTGACATCTTGGCCGGATTGGTCAACTAGTGTCAGATTTGAGTAGTGTGTCTAACAGGATGTCCTCAGCACCATCTACTAAGCTCTTGTGAGCATCCTTGTACCTGCAGATGGTGGTTGTCACAGAACTCGATACAGTACTTGGTTACACTTTGCTTATTCTTTGTCGCCATACACGCCCATTACCGTAATCACATACTACTAACTAAAAACTATGGTGACATAAATTTGGTACAGTACTTGAGTTTGGATTTTTTTTTTTTTTTATAATAGTGTACATGCAATAACAGTCTGTCGTTACCCCTGCAGGATCAATAGCAGACCAAACTGTGATAGTAGAGGCTCTGTCAATTGATGCCAGATAACTTGTACAATAGTTAAGATTGATAATGCTCATGGGAAGGGGATGTAAGATAATTGTGTTGGTAACCAGGCCTAGGGGTGTGGAGAAGGGAAAAAGGCATTTGTAGCTAAGATGCAAGTAATTTTTACCACCACAGTTCTTAGGATGGATTGGGTATTTGTTATCATTGCTCAGTAAATCCAGGTGAGGTAGTGGTCAGATCAGAGTAAACACTGCTACTGCTAATGTTGGGGAGTTATCCCTCGTTTGCCAACCTACACAATGCTAAGAAGAAATCTGACCAGACAGTTTCCCATGAGACAAAATCCTAACACAACGAGCTTGAGTTAGGTGAGATGTTGTACTACAATTTAACAATTTTGTACTCTTGTCAGTTGTTCTGAAGGGTGAATGTGGCTAACAGTTTTGGTGACAAGTGATGGGATGGGACCCTTCCATCCCCTGGGCATTGACCTGACGTATCTTTTGATGGGATATCGGCACTCTTCTGAGTTGGTGGACCCCAAAGAATAGAGGTTTGTGTTGATGTGATGGGCAGGAGAACGACAGGTAATGGAAATATTGCCACCTATACACAGCACCACTGCCTCATAGCAATTTAAAGAAGTTGACACATAGCTACAGGAGGTATGCGATACTCTCTTAGAACAACGGTTGTGTGTGTAGCAGATTTTCCGTTGATCAGCTGGTACACAAGGCAGCCCATCACTGCCATAACCTCCTGCCTCCCTGCTCTGGGGAGGGGGTGGGGGGCAATTGCTTCTGCATCAATTGTTTAAAATGCTGAAACATGGACCACCCTCACCTGGAAGTGTTGTCATTTATTATAGGATTATAGGTAGATGAAACAGAATCAAGTAACAGTTTGTATTTCTACAGCTGTATCATTGATGGTGATCTTAATTACCATTATGATCTCGCCTTGATAGAGCAGGTTGTTGTTTACCCTTCCTGTTTCTCTCATTTTTTCTTGGTGATATGTCAGTAGTCTCTTGTGGGTTCTTCGACTCTGGAGGCAGTGATGCCTTGCCACAAAACCGATCCAAGATGTAAATATAACCAAACCGGTCTGTGCTTTGGTGTGACGTCTTGTGAAGGAAAGAATAAGATTCCTTCACTTCTAGGAGAAGTAATATGATGAAGGGAATAAAGTGCATTATTATGACAGCCAAAGGAAAGCTTGCTGTCACGTTTTTCCAGGATTACTGTAGATCATTTATTATACAGCCAGGAAGATCATCACTCTTTCTCTAGTCTATATGAAACACTAAACTAAGGAATGTCATGATGAGGTGATCGGAAATGTGATGTTAGGATATTGGGGAACTGGAAGAAGGGTTTTGATTACATGGGTCTTCTTGTTGAGCTCATGAATCAACCAAAGTCGACTTTCTACATGATGAAGGGATATGCTTGATATTATTTATTATTAATATGTGAAGATAAAAACAAGGGTAGGGAAGAGATACTGACGAGTACAGAGAATAAGTGATGAGAAAAAGGGTGAGTGGGACAACCTTTGGGAGGACGACAGGCCTGGGGCGCCTCTAGTGTGTGGAGGGAAGGGGGACGGCTGGGATATGAAGTTTTATATATGTTTGGGAGGGGGGGGGGGGCAGGAATGGCTGGGAGGTGAAGCAGGATAGATATACAGTACGTGGAGCGGAGTGAAGGGAATGGATGGAAGATGTATCATAGTTGTGTGGGTGGAGGGGAAGGAATGGGACTGCCAGGAAGATGAAGCATTATAGAAATGTGTAGATGGAATGGGAAGGAAAGATGATCTTTAGAAAAGAGAGGAAACTGCCAACACAAAATGTGTGCGTGTAGAGTGAGAATTCCATTTATTTATTCTGGAAATTGTGAAATGTTGCTGGTTCACTCGTGAGGAGGGTATTGGGTGACGTGGCCAGGCAGATCCACCCAGACCTTGCCGGCGCTGCTCCACAGTGAGGAGACTTCAGGTCGACGCGCTCCGCTGAACATCTCAACTATCATCATGCACCGGCGTGCTCGGTAATGTACTGGCAACCAGCCTCGGGGACATCACTCGCTCTACCTGCATCAAAGTAGGCTTATGGGAAGGTGGCGGAATTTTGTAGTCCACCCTTGAGTGGCCAGTGTTCCCTTTTCTTGTTTTCAGGTAAGAGCTGTAAGATTCTGGAGTTCGTATGTCGGGAATCTATTACTATTCATAGTTCAGGCAATCTCTAGGAAATCTTGTTTTTTAACAGGCTGTCAGTGCAAATATTTTTGTTTTACATAAAAGTTTGCTATCCATGGTGTATAAGAACATTGGGCTCCAACTTTTAGGTTATTTGTGACGGGTGTTTGGTACCAACCTGGCCCGAGCTCAGTTTCCTTTTCTGTTAGTGTTACTGGTTGGGCTCTCCTACACCCGCAATTCTTCGTGTCTTGTGTATCCCCTCACCCTTGCTGTCGAGTAACCAAGAAGTGTATAGTAACTACAAACAACCAAAAAAAATTCATATATTTGACCTGTAATTTGGACTTGAGATTCAGCTCCTTGTGTGGGCCTCTTCCAAGAATAAGATAGATGTGTTATTGCTGTGGGGATACCACAGACAGTAAACAAGAAAAGGGAGACCCTCGTCTACGCGCTCTATTCCTCCCTCATCAGGTAGAATTATTTTGCTGACCAACTGCTTCTTAACGACCGTGTTGTAAATGCGTGGAAGGAACGAGGAAGTTCATTTCCAAAATACTTTAGTTGAGGGGGTGGGGCTCCTCACGCTGGGTACTGGCGACACCCTCGCTGCCCTCTCAATCTTAGACATATTTCCAAACCAATATCAGACGAGTCTCGAAATCCTCCACCTGTAGAAGTGCCCGCGGTTTGTGTGTGTGTAGTTGGGGTGTGGGGGAGAGATCTTGCAGGTAGCTAATCATTACACGGCTCACCCCAGGCCCTTGATCACGAATTATTACAGTCACTGTATGATTAGGCAGGAGGCTCTGTTGTGTGCAATCGTCACACCTATTGTTCCTCAGTATTAGTAGCTAGAATGGGCAGACACCAGATTATATATTATGAAGTGTATTGGTGAGGACAGGAGATATGACCACGCTTCCCCTGCCCTGAGAAAAAGAGTATGACAAGAATTGTGGCAAGGGAAACTCACCACGGGACATTCTGGAGATCCGATTCCGATAATGTTTTTGGGGTG